TAAAAAGCCAATATCTTGTTCATTTTAGGTAACAGAATAAGCTGTCATATCTCCAGTTGCAAACTAATCACAGTTAACTTTCCAGGACCTTTTCTACACATCCACATGCATTAGTTTTACAGACAAAAAAAAAAAAAAAAGCAGCCATTATTTATATTATGATTGTAATTAGCTTTTTACAAAAGTTAACTGAAATCTTCCCCATTACAATGTATCCATATTACGATATCACTGTTAAAAGAGGAAAAAAATTTAAGTGTATGATTATAGCTTAATATAAGCAATCTGGCAGACATTTATACTGCTTCCAGTTTATTTTGCTTTTAAAATATATTTTAATAGACATCCTTAAATATTTCCTAAAAGTGGAATTCCTTAAAATTGCCAATTTATACACACAACAGCGGTTTCCATTTATCCATTTAACACATGAGAACCGACTTTTATGCCAGGAACTCTTCTGAAACTTGGGATTCAACAGTTGAAAGATGATAAAAACTCCCCCTCATGATCCTGACATAGTCATCCATGATAGGGGTTCATTTCCCTGAATTCATAAGATGTTGGGGCTTTTAAAATCTTTGCTACTTTGGTAGGGGAAAAATGAGCTGTTTTTATGTTTTATTGTTGACATGGATTATTTTTATAATTGCTTACCGGTTATTTGTATTTAATGATCACCTTTGTTTTCTTCAATTGCCTATGCCAATCAATACCTGTGCGTGCTAGTGTAAGGCAATAATATTCATGGAACAGAAAAGTTATTTGAAAATTGTAAGGCCTGATATGAATATTTGTTATGATAATTTAGACCTTTTAAAGATGACCTTTAAAAAAAATTTAAAAAAAAATAAAGTTGACCTTTAATACAAATAATCTACAAATTTATTTTTTTTTAATTCCTCAATAGAATGATCTAAAAGATATACAGATTGAGGGTACCTGGGTGGCTATGTCAGTTAAACATCTATCTCTTGATTTCAGCTCAGGTCATGATCTCATAGTTTGTGAGATCAAGCCCTGCATTGGGCTTACATGCTGGAGCCTGCTTGGAATTCTCTCTTCTCTCTTTCCCTTCCCCTGCTAGCCTGCGTACACTCATGCTTTCTCTCTCTCAAAAATAAATAAGCATTTTTTTAAAAAGAAAATAAAACATATAAAGATTGAATATTAGCCATGTAACTGAGAAAAAAAAACCCACTCTATTTCCTGATGTTATTTTTAAATTGCACATGTGTACTTAAAAGAGCTGACCTTTTGAGGTTAGAAATCTTTTAGTTAGGAATACCAATCAACCTCTTATGAAACCTGCTTCCCCTACAGCATAGGCAATCTTAAAATCACAACTGTATTTTCATTTTAATTACAATTTAATCATTTGTATCTGTCATGAATAGAAAGGCAATGGGAGAAAATAATTCTCTAGAAAATATTCTTCCCAGAGTACTGTCCACTAGACTTGATAAACGCTGTCTAGATATTTGCAATTTATTTTTTGTAATGTTCATTTATTTTTTAGAGAGAGAGAGAAAGCAAGGGAGGAGCAGAGAGAGAGGGAGACAGAATCCCAAGCAGGCTTCGCACTGTCAGCTCAGAGCCCAACATGGAGCTCAAATTCAGGAACTGTGAGATCATGACCTGAGCCAAAACCATGAACTGGACTCTCAACCAACTGAGCCACCCAAGTGCCCCTAGATATTTGCAACTTAGAACTTGTTTTGGAGATGATGGTGGTGAGGCTTCCTACCCCATCCATACAGCCGTTGTTGGTCACTAGGAAGGGATGGAGATGTGAGGGACTCCAGTTTCACTGACAACCCTCTGCATCCTGCGGGGGAAGAGGGGGTTGTATAGCAAGGTTTGCTGTGATTTAGTAATTCCTCATCTTCTCTGACATTCTCTCTAAAAAAGTTTATGAATTTATGGGGGCTAGCAGTGCATTGCAAAGCACACTGACTACGTTCAAAAACGCTCTGTGCCCTTCCTATGCCTTAATGCCTGCTCACTTTGTATGATCACTGTGTGCCAAGAATAAGATAGGTATTAAAATCTCATCAAAGTTATCAAAAGTGGTGCTTATTATTTTCCCCATTTTACACATAAGAGAATGAACCTTCAGAGGGGTCATATAATTTTTCTATAACTGCCTAGTTAATAAATAACTGTACCTAAGAACCTTGACCCTTAACTCTTTTTGCTTTAACATTTTTGGTGGGCTGTATCTTTGTATAATCCCGCAGAAAAGACCAAATATCTAGAGTGTGCTTCTCTCAATAGCATGCAGCTACTCTGATTTTCCTAAACCTCTGTATCTCTCTCTGTAGCCCACAATACAGACACCCAGTGATCCTACTGGCTGCCTGGCAACCCATAGGAGGGATTCCGACATCATATTATACTGAAAAGAACCTATCAGGAAAACCTGTAGTGGCAATTTAGTTTAAAAGCTGATCTTGGGGCGCCAGGGTGACTCAGTTTTTTAAACACCTGACTCTTGATTTCAGTTCAGGTCATGATCTGGTTGATAGGATCAAGCCCGGGTTGGGGTCTGCCCTGACAACGAGGAGTCTGCTCAGGATTCTCTCTTTCCTTCTCTCTGCCCCTCCCCTTGTCACTCAGGCACTCTCTCTTCCTCTCTCTCTCAAAATAAATAAAAAACTTCTTTAAAAAGCTGATCTTAAAGGCCTTTTACTGGTGTTAAGAGCTGAAATGTATTCCTGCCCAACCAAATTCATATGTTGAAGTCCTAACTCCCAATACCTCAGAATATGACTGCATTTGAAGGTAAGGCCTTTAAAGAGGCAATGAGGTAAAATAAGGTCTAATGGGTGGGCCTTCATCCAATGTGAGTGGTGTCCTCACCAGAAGAGGATATTAGGACACAGACACAGAGAGGAAAGACCATGTGAAGACACAGAGAGTAGATGACCATCTACAACACAAGAAGAAAGGCCCTCGAAAGAAGTCACCCATACAAATACCTTGATCTTGGACTTCCAGCCTCCAGAGTTGTGAGAAAATGAATCTCTGTTACATAAGCCACCGAGCCTGTGACACTGTTATGGCAGCTCCAGCAAACTAATACAGATGGGGCTGGATAATTACTAGTACTGTGTCTGAAATTAAGAGCTTTCCTGATATTCAAAGTTCCCATTTTAAAACTCAGAAATCCAGACCAGAAAGCCAAATAGTTACAGGTACAATCTGGTAAGAAGAATTTCAAATGATTTCACAAGTTATTTAATCATACTGAAATTTTATTGCCCCTAAAGAACTTCACCAAGAGGATCAGTGACTGGGGCCTTGGCATCTTCTGTTACTCAGTTCAGGTTGATGTTGCTTATGGTGTTTGACTGGAGGGCAAATCAGAGACGTTTTGGGCATTTCGTCACACAGCTGATTGGATACATTTACCATAGAAAGAACAAACCTTTGCAGATTCTCACCCAATTTGCTGTGCATGGATAAATACAGTAGTGCTCGAGAAGTGACAGCAATGACTGCTGTTGAAATCAGAGGAAAATATGTGCATGGCTAATGGAAAGAGAAATCTCAACACAGAGAGGGAAAACTGAAGACTGAAATAAATCTGTTCAAAGACCTTAAAAAGGACTGTCTCTAACAAACTCCCTTTGGCTTTCAAGTCAATAAATATTTTTAAAGTGCATGCATGGTAGTATGGGGGAAATTAGAATTTAGAAATTAACCCTGACTCTGACCTCAAATACTTCTTGATACGATATGAGAAAAAAGACATAGACACAAATAGCCATAATTTCATGTAGTCTTTGATAACATCTGTCATGGAAATTAAAAATGTAATGAAATCACAGAGGACAGACAAGGTCATTGGACAAGCTGGCGCACTGGACAAGACCCACTGGGAGAGACGTTTGTTTCGGGTCTGGAGGTTGTATAGCGTTTACACAGGTGGGGTGGCAAAGGGAGGAGCTTTCTAGACAGGCAGATTAGCACAAAGAGAAACAGATGTTGTGGAGTGCAAATCATGTTCAGTGAAAAAGTGGGAATCTTCCATGACGGGAAGCATTGAGAGGATGGGGCCATTGACCTTGCACTTGGAGTTAAAGGGCCGAGGCTTGAGTCCTGTGTGCCCCATATACTAGATTTATGACCTCAATCTCCTTGAGCCTCAAATTCCTCACCTGTGAAATGGAAATAATGACTCAAGCCTCACAATTATGAAGATTAGAAGTGAGTCCCCTGTGTGAACTCTCTACCCAGCAGTCTGATATGCAACAAAAATTTAGCAAATGTTGACTGCACCTAAGTAACATAGGCTTGATTTTATAGAAAATGGAGAGCCAATAAGGTTTTTGAGCATGAAAGTAAGATGACCAGAAGTAGGCCTTTGGAAATTTATCCCTGTAACACTGTGTGTGTAGAATGAATTCAAAGGCAGCCATTAGCACAGATTTGAGGTGATGGGAACCTGAAGGAGAGCCGCACATGGGGGAATGTGAAAGAGGTGATGAGTATAAGTGTTTCTGGGACATAGGCTGCTGTTCAGAAACTCATGTTCCAGTTCTGTGGCTCTTTTCTCAAGTAGTGGCATGACTTTTACTGAGCTATTTAAGCTCAGTGGATCCCCAGTTTTCTCATCTATAAAACAAAGAGGTTGGAAAAATCTTACAGCACTAGAATACTTCATACCTATTTGAAGCAATAAAATTTGTGAAGCTGATTATATGGGAAGGCAAACAGCATAAGGGAGGTAGAGAAACTAATGGTAACATAAAGCAAAAAGCTTTAAACATGAGTTAGCGGGTTGGTGGCCAGTATCATTACTAGGAATGTGGAAGAGAAGAAAATAAACCGGTTTGGGGGAGAATATGAGGGATGTCATTTCTAACAGTTGAAAGGGCTTTTTTTCAAAGAATTAGACTTGTGGTTTTATGAGTCTTCAAGAAATACTTATTTTATTTTATCTCTCATCCTGTAAACATTAGATTTGAAAGCAAATATTTTTCTTTAATGTACAGATTCTTTTCATTGGAGATTCAACCAACAGAGGAATAATGTACTATCTGATCGAAAGACTAAATGAAACCTTGCAAGAATGGCAGAAGGTGCACGGCACAAAATTCTACCACAATGTCAATGGTGGGAAGACTTTGATCAGTTATTCCTACTATCCGCAGTTCTGGATAAGCCCTTCACTGAGACCAACATTTGAAAAAGCACTTGAACATCTCTTGCAAAGGTACAATGGAACGCTTATGTAAGGCACAATGCCACAATGTACTGATGTTTTACTAGCGGTCACAACGGCTCACTGTATATCAAATGTGCTGAAAAGCTTAAATGCCAAGTAATATGGCTGAAAATGAGTTGGAAACGACAAGGGGGTCCTGTGATCAGGATGCTAGATATGGTTCAGTGAAATGTGAGGCACTGCTGTTAAAATGTTTACCATCTGTTTCAAGGCAACATGTGTTGTTTTCCTTCCTGGATTTCAGATCACGTCCCCTGGAGAATACAGGCCAGACAGTATTGGTCGTTGGTGGTGTTCAGTGGCTTAATTCCAATCACCTGCAAATTATTCACAAGGTTTTGAAGAGGTAGGTTCCTGCAGTAATAATTGTCATACGTATTCTAGTTAAAAAGAAAAGTCACCCTTGATGTGACTAAATTTCATCAAAATTTTATTTAAAGAGCAGTTTGTAATTTAGAATGACATACTTGAAGTTTAGTTTAAAATGTTTCAAAATACTTTTGTCTCCAATCACAGGATGGCTCTTCAGTATCCAAATTTGTATTTACTAGAGCTAAAAACATGCCCACTGACACATAAAACTCTATCCACAAAAAAAACCCTAAAATATATCAACTTTATGAGAATTTAGTCTTCTATGCCAATTATCACATTCTAAAAGAATTCCAGTGTACTTATTTATGTAAGCACATAATCTAGAAATGTAATCAAAGTTTATGACCTCAGGATTCTGATTCACAGGGAAAATTTACTCAATATCCTTGTGATCATCAAAACTTTGGGAATTGGATTTCATCTCCCAGTGGATGGACTGCATTTCTTGACACAAGTAGGTCCATTGCCTCCAGGCTATGTGAACTTTGTGGTTCCTGTAAGAATCTTTGCTGGTGTCTGAAAAAGAACCCACAAGACACTACGCAATATTCAGCGGCCTTCATAAAAATCAAAGGAGGATAACATAGTCAAGGATTATGATTTCAAATCAATTATAATTATTCCGGGAAATAAGGAGACCATATCCCATAAACACGTTGTGAATAATGCTTTGAGCTCATAAGAGAAGAAAGGGGATGCCGAGCTATGAAAAAAACAAAGATCTAGGGGATAGATGAGAGAGATTAAGCTTTAAGTATCCCCTTACCCCACTAATGTTTCATACACCTTAAAGACTCATGCTGGAACCACAAATGAAATTGTCAGTATCAATGAGTACTTTGGGGAAGAGTGGCTTTTTTGAAGATGATTTCTGACTGATTGCTTTTCAAAAAACAAAAAGTCTTTGAAGTAGTATCATTAGTTATTCCTTTGCTTGGATATTCATAAGTGGGAGGAGTTAGAAGCCTCTGTCCAGTTCTTCTAGAAAAAAGTAAATTTGTCTCAACACTGAATAGAAGTCTAAGAAAAGAAAAGAAAGGCAACATCTGTAGGCAAGAGAACCAGCTGCTCTTGTTCAAGTGAGGAGAGTTCATGGGCAGGCAGGTTTGTGTGCAGTTGCTTCAGGGAGCTCAGGGGAGCACTGAGAATTGGGGAGGCAGGAAGCTGTCCATTTACTGTGTAAACTAAGTGAGATTTATTTTTGTGGCAATGTTGAGGGCTCCTAGCTTCCCCTGGCACAGATTACACGACCTCCTCTCCCTTTTGCAACCTTCCCTGCCTAGGTGCCAGATCTGTGATGCAAAAGCAGAACTGATAGAAAGTGGCCCAAGTCAAGCCTCCAAATTCAGCTTCTTGGAGTTAGTGTGGGGAGGTTAGGGTCACTTAAAATGAGTGGAGGTATTTTGCATGTTGGATACCTGAAGGTTGGAGACTGTGAGGGATTAGATGACAGGTCCTTTGATAATTTTTGCTATGGGTTTTGAGTTGAATCTCCTTTAATGTTATTTGAAGGCTATAGTCAAAGTTACAGTTGCTTCTTGAGGACTCTGCTTTGAGCCCCGCTTTCCTCCTCGCTGAAACTGGAGTACTTGGGCCCCTACTTATATGTAGGTTCCTAACTCCGAATCAGTTCATATCAGCAGACAGCAAACATTTCTACAGCACTTACTATGTGCCAGATCCTGTGTTAAATACTATGCCTCCCACCAGGGCTTTGATGGTCCTCATCAGTCTTTTCAAACTGAATGAAGACAAAAGGAGGGGAGGAGAGGAAAGAATAGAATGAAAGAGAAAGGGATAATAGCAAGTGGAGGCAGAAAATAAGGCGGAACTCAATTATAGGGTTCCATGGCCATGCAAGAGCTTGCCTCTGCCTTTCTCTGTAGACTCATCCCTACATATGCACAGACATGCACGCACACACACATGCCCCACTACTGAGTTCAGTGCACGCACACACACATGCACACACACCACAGCTGGGCAACTTTCAGTTTCTGCAGCACACCGTGCTCTCAGACACTTCTAGGTCTTTGAAGTCACTTTTCCTTCCTTACAGAGCCCACCCTCTCACGAACTCCTCATCTGAGCAACTTCCAGTCACCCGTCCAGTGTTAGTTTACCCTGGGGCAGACTTACTTGTGCACTAGACTTAATTGGCTATTACTCCTGCTAAGAGCTCCTATAATAGTGTCTCGTGTCTTCGTTCATGTCACTCAACAGATAACAATCCTTGGTCATCTGTCTCCCCTGCTAGACAATTTGCGAATCTCTCTCCCTGTGAGAGCAAGAGGAGACTGGGGAGAGAGGGCTGCATTGATCACTCTGGTACCCCAAATGCAAAATGCAATTCTCAGCAGATGGTAGACTCTCAAAAAATATCCCATGCAAGGAGTCAGTGATAGTTTATATGATTTAGCTGCTCCCAGATTGCTCCTTCAAGGCTGAGATATTCATTCAACTGGGCCACTGGGAGTGTGACCCAGTAAGGACTCACACCTGACTGATGGCAGGAATTACCTTTCTCTTGGGCAGATTCCCAACTTGCCAGTGCAGAAGTACCAAGATTCCACCCTCTTTACCCAATTTGGGCCATCCTGTAGGGACCACGCCAGCTCTAAAACTCCCAGTGGGATCCAGAAAAGCCTCTGTTGGAAACACATCACTTCTTTATAAGTGTTGATCCCCAAAGCACTTTCCTGTGATGCAAATTCCCATCTCAAAATCTGTTTCCCAGACAATCAAACTTTCTCTAGAAAACTCTCTTTAGAAATTGCTTACTGTAAAATTCCATATACCTTTCACGATCAGACATATTAAAGTCGTATCTAGACAAGAAGAAGCCTACAAACAACCTTGAGCATCACTGTTCACATGATGGCACAGACCAAATTCACATGTGTTTCCTTCCTCTAGATTCCTTCATTGAGAACTCTTTTTATTCACTACTTTTATTTTGGGGGCAACGATGTCACATAATGATTCAGTATGCAAGCACAGTGGAGAAGACAGAAAATCACACCTATGTGTACTGCTTCTATTATTTTGCAGTAATAGATCAACAAATGCAAGTCATTCACTTTTTCACCTGGAAAATGAAAAACACTTTTATCCTTTAGAAAAAGCAAGAGCAATCTCCTCCCTCTGTCAGTTTGGGTTTTCTAAGAAACAGACAGCAGACAGGATCAGCAGAATAAGGGGATTTATTAAGGAGAATGTCTGGAAAGGATAAAGGGAAGGGTGCCAAGTAGGCAGGAAGAGTTTCAGGCCACAGCACTCAATGCATATCCCTCAGTCTTGCACCAAATATTTTTTGATTGTCTACCATTCACTGGGTACTGTGGTTGGCTATAATGTGTCTGATATGAAGGGAGTAGAAGGTAGGAAGAATCTCAGGCTACAGGTCAATCTAAGAAAATCCCAGCCAAGCTGATGAGTAATCTCAGAGCTAGAGTAGTTAGTGGAGGGCCCCTCATCTCAGCAGTGGATCTGAATTAGACACTCTGCCAAGCACCGTCATTGCTTCGGACATGGTTGGGGAAGGAGGGAAGAATATGATCCAGAGAAGCAGCGGCTGGAACCCTCACTCAATTCTGCTGCCCCCTGAAACACACTCCCCTTCTCTGTTGCCCCCGCCCCCATTTGATAGGTAAACCTCACTCTGCACTGGAACCTCGTCCCGAAGCCTCGCTGTCCAGCTGTCCCTTGTTGCTGCACAGCTGGTCCTTCTTCCCTACTAGCACCGAGCCCAGTATATTTACATCCACTAAAGGACCGAGTAAATGTTTACAAATCTATTTTGCTTGTTAGAATACAACGCTTTAAGAGCAAGGGCCATGATTTATTTTTCCTTGTATTATTGTCCCTTAGCAGAGCTAAGCACAAAACAGAGACTAATTAATATTCAAATGACTAAATGAATAAAAGTCCAAATAGATGGAGACTGCCTTTGTGATTTTCAAATTTTGACTTTTTTAAAGTGAGAATTTTAAATATTTCAATGGATCTTTGTGGGAAATAAACCTAATTACTTTTTGTAGAGGAAAAAGTTCCAAACTGTGTGTCATTGTGGATATTTATGTATTGGTGTTTTATATATACATAAATGTTTATATTTATATTTTGAGTAAAAATTTGATAACACATCTTTACTTAAGAAATGCATGTGAAGGGCACTTGGGTGGCTCAGTAGGTTAAGCATCTGCCTCTTGTTTTCGGCTCAGATCATGATGCCGGGGTCATGGGATTGAGCCTTGCATCAGGCTCCATGCTGTGTGTGGAACCTGCTTATGATTCTCTCTCTCCCTCTAAAGCTACCCCACCCCTGTCACTCCTCTCTCTCTCACTGTCTCTCAAGTAAAAAAAAAAATACACGTGAAACTAATTCTTTTTCTTGCAATGGGACCTATTTGTAAAAGAGATGATATTTACATGATTTGTATCTGAGTTCCTAAACCATAAAACAGTCCTCTTAATAAAAATTCTCATTCTTCTCCTTTGCAATACAGAGTGAAGTTCAGAACTTATGGAAAGAAAACGTGATTATTCTGGATGCTGCAAAAACATACGGCTATGAAGTGGTTGACACATTTACTATAACGATGGGGCGATACAAAGAGTTTTTGCAGGGGACGTGTGGATGTCATTTCCATGAGGTATTTATTTATTATAGCTTTTGATTGTTTAAATTTCTCATTGTATCTTTATTTGCATTGTCAGTCTTACTTTGTATTAAAAAATTATGTCAGGAGGAGATTAAATGATGTATTTAGCATCACTCAGCCAAAGAGTTTAGCAACACAACTCGAGACTCTACAAAATAAGATATTAAAAAAGAATTAGTTTTTATGAAGACACTTAAAAACTAGGATCACCGGTCACTGCAAACAGGAAGATGGAAACCTTGAGAGCACTTGTCTTCACTAGTAGACTCTCAACCATCTCATAGGAGATTGTGGCCAAAGAATGTAGAAAATATCTTTGGTGGAGCTTGAAAATCATGGCAATTTAATGTGCTAAACTAATCAATGACCTTCCTCCTTTGGTTTATCCAGTGCATTAAACAGGTGGGCCTGTGTTTTGAGTAGTCTCCAACACCTGTGATGAAATTGATTTTATTTGTAGTTAGTAATGTATTAGGCTAAGCTGATAAGGTGATAGCAGACAATAATTTTAGCCTTCCTTCCCCACCTCCATGTTTTCAAACTGTGTGATTATTTCCTCCTTATCATTTGAATAAAATATTGGTAAGTCCCATAACTTTAAAACCACTTTCAGATAATAAAAGGACTCTAATCACTTTCAGGTAGAGGAAGAATATCAGTTCACTACTAAAATTGCCCAGTCTTGTGCTATAACCACATGAAGTCATTTCCTTCCCCCAGCTCAGGCCCACTTGGGTCTCAAAGCCCGATGGAGGAGAGAAGATGTAGGAGCTCTCTTTCCTCTTTCTCTCACCCCTTTCTTCACTGGGTCAGGTTAGGGAGATGTTGAGGACAATAAAAGTCTTACTTGACTGCTGTAAACATAACCCATTGGTATGCTTTCTGGGTAGAGAACGCTAATTCTTGTTAAAGTGCTTTTGTAGACTACCTTGAAGACCCTTCTTCCCTATAGCTTCCTTGATAGGGGCACTACCTGGGTTCCTTGGCTTTCAATTGTCCCTCCCTCTCTTGTGGGTCACCTTGCCCCTCTGGGCACCTTCTTGAAAATTATTCAAAATAGCACTAGGCATGCTATATTCAGTTACCCACCTTTGGTCCACCAGAGATATCCATGAATGCTTGCTCTGTTTTTGCTAGAAATAGAGTTAACTACCACTACAGCCCTCTTTCTCTTTCCCTCTTTCTCACTCTTGGTCTCACTCCTGCTATCTCACTCTCCCAGCCACCTTAAAGCTCATCTATAGCCACAGTGTCTTGCCCCCCAAACCCCAAAGGACTCATGTCCACTTCTTAAAGAGGATTTCTTGAAGGCCCCTTTCATTTGGCTTGAAGCAAGGGTAAAGCAGTTCCTAATGAGGGAGGAAGACCATCAATATCTGGACAACTTTTCACATAGAAAATCTCTCTCTTCTTTCATCTTCATTTTCCTACTCTTCTAATGAGACAGAGATTTGAGAAACTGGATTTTGTCTACATTCTTTCAAGTTTTGCATACATTGTCCAGACACTGCTTTGAAGTATGGGGTTACTTGGCTTCTGTTGTTTGCTCTAGATCTCAGGAGCTTCTGCTGAAACTGCAATGGAAGATGTCTCATCTGATCATTTTGTCAGACACGGGCTCTCTTGCTTTTTCTCAAATGGCTTCCTTGGTAAACCAGAAGGCAGTCATTGGGCTGACTAGGAAAATGACCACTACAGGTTTCCTGCATCCTATTTTTCAGCCCTAAGATGACTGTCAGAATCCATTTTGGTCTTCAGATTTTTATGGCTACCCAAAATTATTGAGACTGCATTTGTTCTTCTGGATAATCTATATTATATTTTTACATATAATTTTGTATGACAAATGGAACTGCATCTCAGGGAAGGGACAATCTGCACCCACAGTAGAGAACGTGGCATTTTAAGATTTGATCTAGTAACCTGAAGCCCGGCCATGCTGTTGCAGCACAGATTTTACACTGTAGGAGACTATGAATTTATTTGTTTCTTCCACAAAAAAAAATATAACACCCTTTGGGTTCCTATTCTATTTGCAAAAAGTCAAGACTTAGAGACACAAGAGCAGGTAGCCAAGAAGGAGAAAAAATAATCCTGTGGCTGAGCCAGCCCAGTATCATAGTTGGCTGCAAAAATAAGTCAAAGGTTGCCAAAACCCACATAAAACAGGGACTTTGAAAGACAACATACTGATCTTTTTTCTTTTTTTGCTTTTTTTATAAGAGGTTTGTTTATTTACTTATTTTTATATAATGTGTCTTCAATTAGTATTTTGGGGGAGGGTATCTGTTTTTCTTTTTCATCTTTAGTGCTCTGGAAATCTAAAAAGGAGAAGTCTTCCAAAGATTTCCAGCATGGCTCCAATTAAAAACAGAAGATGCCCTTCCCACACGATTGCATTACATGTATCTCCTGCCACAGCATTAACCGGTTGACACTAATAGTCATGGAATTTGAGAACTACAACAAAGACTCTTTGAACCATCAGAACTAAAATAGTGGCTTATAAATATTACTTATAAAAATAGATTTAATTTGCATAACAATGATTTAAGCACGTCAGGTGAAATTATGTCACTTATTTGACTTTATAATTATGTGTAATCATCATGTACAAATTGTTTTTTAAGCCCTATTTTTTTAAGTTTATTTATTTATTTTGAGAGAGAGAGAGAGAGCAAGAGGGGCAGAGAGAGAAGGAGAGAGAGAATCCTAAGCAGGCTCCACACTGTCAGTGCAGAGCCCAATATGGGGCTCAAACTCACGAACCATGAGATCATGATTTGAGCCAAAACCAAGAGTCGAAAGCTTAACTGACTGAGCCACCCAGGTGCCCCAAGCCCTATTTTTAATGCGTGTTGACTTGGCAAGCTACATAGGTATCCTCCAAATTATCTTAGTTGATTCTGGAGCAGCGTTACCATTTTGAAGTGTTATTGTTTGAGCTAAAATACTTCTGGGAGCATTTGCCTTTCCAGTTACACCGCAGAGAGATAAGATCATCTTTCTCAACTGGCTTTCTTCATCATAAAGTCTCTAAACCAGTTCATCACTTCGGCATAATTGCTGCTTAAGTCTCAAACAATATGCACCTCTCGTAGCTCAGAAAGTTTCTACTGCTGACTCTGAGGTTTTATAATCTTTCTAAGCTATCTCCCAACATCTTAAATCACTGTTAGCTTATTATAAACAATCAAGAAAATCTAAAGGCCCTTGCAAAGGATGATTTGATGATTAATGTGGCAAGCCAGAGAAAAGCAAATTATTGGTCTCATGCAAAAGATACTAAAAGGCAGAAATTTGTTAATAATAACCATTTTTTCCTCTGTGCTCATCTTATGAACTGGCAGAGCAATTTGTCATACAGGAATAGCTAGAATTAAAATCAGCTGTGCTAGAACCATGAGAATTTGAGTTTGTATCTTCTGGTGTTCAATTAAACCATTCCTGCAATAGATTCTCACACACCTAAGAAGGATTGCTACAACCATTGCAGTCACATCTTGCTGCATCCTCTGATTTGTGATGAGAACTCTGTCAGAGACATAAACCTGCATCAGTTGACTCTTGTTGCCATAGGTAAGAAGATGAGAGGTCTTGGGCACCTCCTTCATCGATCAAGTCACCGTGAGAGAGAATATGTTGCCACCATGAATCTCTAAACAATTTCCCAACGGGTGTGCATCAGTGTTGACTAAAATGTGCCTGCTGATTAGAAAAGCAGGTGTTTCTCTTCATGGCAGAAATGAAATTTTGTTTTCCCAATATTTATGCAGGACAACAAACAGGATCCAGGTAGCTTTTGCCCAAGAGTGGTTTTGGATGGTGCTGTTAGTTATGTGGCAAATATCTAGTATGAACAAGCTAAAACCTGGGAAGGATGAAAAAATATAATCAGCCCAAACCTGGCTGCAGAAGGGGCAAAACCACAACAGTTACGTGATTATTAATTCATCTAATCTGTTGTACAGACCTGATATGATACCTCTGTTTTCTGGCAGATGTAGCTACAGCTCTTGACTCAATCCAAAAAAAAAAATCCTGTGGCATCACTACCCAGCTCTAATACTACCAGGTTTCCTTTCATTTTGGCACCATGGAAAGAAGGCAAGATTGTTAGTTCTTTGTCAGAGATGATTTCCTATTATTATTTAATCTTCTTCTTATACTCTTGATTATTTAGGTTTAGTTATGTAAACAAAAGCTTATCTTGCCTAGAAAAGTTTTCCTTCTCTGTGATGGGATTTAAGTTTCCCCCTTTCTTGTTCAAACTTTAAAAGTTTGTCATAAGCCCAATGAAGAAAAACACCTTTAAATTCACTTATCTAGAAAACTATGGTAGTGGCTTTTAGCGAAAAAAGAACAACTAATCCAAATACAGTTAGCTTGGATAGCAGATCCCAGGATTTATCAGCATGGCTATTTTTAATAAATTAGCAATGGAAATTTAATTGAACACATTTTTGAGTATCTATGTGAAATGTACTAACTACTGTAAAGTGAGCTAGGAAAACATTTTTTAGGGTCTCCTTGAGTATCTCAAGCTCAACACATCCCTGAAGAGAGAAGGAATAGTCCCTTTAAACTTTCTTCTCTGGAAGACCTGAATTTACTCTATTGCATTCTCATTGACAAACTCGGATCATTCTTGAGGAAGATAAGATCCTCCTTATCTTTCCTCAGCCCCCAACATCCTCTGACCAGCTACTTACCAAGTCCTTGCCTACTAAATATTCTACCAAACCTTTCCCCATACTCTGTTCCAGTCGCTTCAACCTTGATTATTCTTTTACTTAATCGTCCAACATTTGTTTTGTGAATCCAGTTCTTGGGCTAAATGGTAGTGATGTAAACATAAATAACAAACACTCTCTTCCCTCAAGACAGTGTAGTCACGGGGTCAGGCACAAAAGCCCATATTATGAAATAATATGTTAAGCAGCATGTTAGACATATAAATAGGATATTGTAATAACACCAAGAAAGGACAG